GGTCTTTGTATTCTGTGCTCTGTCATCTCCAGAAAACAGTATCCAAGTTGATGCTTATCTCTGAAGTTGTTCTTCATGTGTCTGAACCCAAAGATTGGTACCTTGGCCTCATATGAGGCTTCCTCACATGACTTCTCTGTGACTTCCTCACATGACTTCTTCTGTGACTCTATTTCATGCAGTGTTACCTGTCCTCCCTAAATTGGGACCCCAGACCTCACCTCTGTGGTAATGTACCTTATATTATGAGCTTCCTGCAACTGTCTTCTGAGATGAAGCTGGGGATGTAATGCCATGTGTAGTGTACCTTTCCTTGCCTGCATGGTGTGATGGCAGGAATGCTGATCTCTCACTGTGTACAGGATCTTCAGAGAGAGTCCCCAGGGGTCAGCTGAAAAGGCAGAGACTGAAATCCCATTACCACTTTTCCAGCAGTTTGTTCTTCCAGGTATTGGCAACCTCCAGAGAAAGTATAATTTTCTGTGTTCACCTAAAAAAATTTCTGGAAAACATCGTCCTAGGCTTTGAGAGGTCTGATTCTTCACCTGCTGCTAAAACAGTGATTATCTATGGGTAGATGTAATTAAAAGAACGAAAGGTATCTGCCCACAGTAGCATGGCTTCCAGCTTGGTGTAATCTGTTGTACTTGTCAATTAGAGTCATGGAACTATTGCCTGCAGTTTGTGTTCTGTGGGGTTACCTTTGGAAATGGAAAGGGAAGAGCTCCACATGCCATGGCTCTTGCTGGAGGATTGTCTGGTGCCAAGGGCTTTTAGCTTGGGTGTTTTTGTTTGCACGGTGCTGCTTCTCCTGTGACAAAAACAGCCCAGCACACCCTTCTTAAAGCCTTTCTTCCTGGATCCCTCCACGTTGTTTCATGGGTGTCCATGAGTACTGAGTTTGTCTGATAGTTTATCAAGGTGCCCCAGGTCAACTCAGGTGGGTTGGCATCATCACAGGACCTCAGGGCTCACTCTGTGTGTCTGTGCTGTGTAATAACAACTGAGAATGAGGAAACTGCCTTAAATTGGGTCAACTCTGTCCCACCAAAGTCCTTCCAGAGGATGTCACCATCCCTGGAAATAAATATACCTAGATCTCTGGGGAAAACTCTTCCACAGGAACTGTTGCTCATGATAAAACCCTGGGGAAGTGAAATTTGTAACTTCCCTAGGATAAATACTGCAAAACAGGTTTATCTAAAAATGTATATACAACTCAAATAAAAATGATCCTTAGTTATAACTAAATTATTTTAAGGTCCCTGCCAACCCTGTGATTCATTCTATGAAATAATTTCAAATGTACCACAATAGAATGACTTTGCAAACCCTTTGCTCATTAATACTGTGTTAATATTCATAATACTGAAAGATAATTTCCACTTAGCTTTGAATAGGGCATTTGAGGTAACCTGTTATATTTTTTAGTTAGCTTTTGACCCATTGATTTCCATTTCCTTACTTCAAAAATGTAGTGTAAACATACTGCAGATCATGGCATCAAAATCCACAATTGTGGAATTCAGACCTTTCACATCGATAGTGAGACCCAAATTGAAACAGATGATTTTAAAATAGCAGAGAAAAAGTGTTTCAGAACAAGAGTTGCAGAATTTATTGTTCATTGTGAATGAAACAGCTAAGTTATGGTTAGAAGATTTTTCTGAATTGTATTCTCTGAAAATTATATTATTTATTATGGCTTTGATTAATTCCTTATTTGTTCATCCTCAGTGTGAAAAAAGCCAAGTATTCCTCTAGTATGTAAAACTGCTAACTAAAAGCTTTAAAATTAGCATAAGCAATTTTTTATTCTTCCTTCTTAAGAGCAACATATATATTTATTCTATTTATATACTATATTTGCTGTAGGATGCATATGAATAACAGACCCACTTATTCTGTTTTGCTCAGATACTGGGATTCCCCTATGTGCCTCACCTGCCTTTGCCCTTCCTCTCTTCCAGCTAGCAAGAAGCAGAAGAGAGGCAGTGATTTCCAGCCTCAAGTTCAAGGCTGGCATTGTAGCTGAATGTTAATGACTCATGCAGCTTGAGATGCCTGATACTTAGTAATGCAACTTTAACCTTTATAATAGACATAATTTGATTCTCAAACCATCTATATTCTCTTCTTGTTGCAGCCCAAGTAGCTGTGAGGAGTAATGAGAATGGACAAATATAATCACCACGCAGGACATGGAGAAGGACAGAGAGATGAATCACAAATTCCCATCAGATTTTTCAGCCTTGTTATCACTATTTGATTCTAATGTCAGGAAATGAAAGAAACATGAAGATAATTTTGTTGTGATGCTGGTGTTAGCCAGTCAGATGGCAGAGCACTCAAAAAGTCAGCCGCTTGTTTTCTAAGCTGGTATTGCAGATGTTTGGTCTTAAATGACTCTAAAGGAGCACAGAAATAATTAGGTAGTTGTTAAGTGAGTATGAAAGGTATTAAAATAACTGTAATATAGGATTTTTTTTAAATTTAGGCACATTTTAAATGAGAAAAGACATTTCAGGGTGAAGCTAAGACTGCAATTGGGTTTTTTAGCCTTTGCCACTGTGTTTTAGGTGTTGTTTAGAAGACATAGCTCACATTTCAATGTGATGATGTACCTTGTTTCTGTAAACTTAACTGTCTGTATTTTCTACTGTCACACAGGGGCATAAGTTTGTCCACATACATTTGAGCTACAAAACAGAGATCACACAGTCAGTGATTCCATTGCTTCTCCATTCTTGTAACATTTGCAATAAATGGTACAGCTGGCAGTCTCCAGTGCTGTGTGAGGCTTACCATGTAGATCCATAGGATATGCTAGCCATACCAGAAGTGAGAAAGATGAGCTGTCCTGCAGAGTTTTGTCATCATTAGATGAGGAAGTTTTCAAATGAGCAATGGAGTCATGACTGAGTACTGCAGATCAAAAAAAGCTTATGATTAAATTTTTCTTCTTTTGTAACTGTGCTGTGTTCTGTATGTAGCATAAATTTCATAGGAAATGTTTACTCTGGTGATTAGGGATTTGTGTGTAGTGCTTGACACCAACTTTTTGAATGTGTAACATGATTGTGTCCAGATACACCAAAGGGTCTTATTATAGCCTCAAATGTTGAATGTATGGTCTAGAGTCTAGTATCCTTCCAATACAAGTGTTTATCCTGCAAGAAAGTCTTGTCCACCAAATATATCTTTTGATCTTTTAGTTTAAAAAAACCCACTTGCTAATCTAGCATGAAACTTGCCTAGCCTGACACCTGGACAGGTTTCATCCAAGAATAATGAATAGGTGAAAAACATTTCAGGAGAAGCTGATTTTATTTTTAAAGACAACTTTCTAGCATAGCTGGACTGCAGGAGGCAGAGGTGGTGGTGGTAATTATACACAGCATGAGAAACATAAAGTAGTGAGTTCAAAGTAATTGAAAGGACCAGGTTAAGGTTATGGTGCAGTTATCCCAGGGCTGCAGTTTATCCCAAACTAACGACTGTGAGCCTTTCTGTCTACTAACCTGCCTAGGTTAATATAGCAATCATAATTGGATCAATGTGGATAGCACAGAGATTACGAGATTCTTGATATAAATTACCTTTCTTAACATGCATTTGTAGATTCCCAAAAAAATGTGGTAATGATACAAATATCTAATAAAAGAAGTAAGAAATTGAAGCTCCAGCTAATTTTTTTTTAGTTACATGATATTAGATTAGACTTTACTCCTTACATGACTGATGGCTTTGGCAAAAGTAGAATTTGTTATCCCTGTTGGCATTTAGTAATGTGTTTGCTTCATCAAGTGCAGACTGGCTTTCCATAACATTTTTCTGACTAGCCCTTCATTCTCTCCTCCACTTCTTTTGCCTTTTGCTTTTGCCTTTTGTCTTTTTAAGTTGCATATCAGAGTTGTCCTTTTTTCCTGTAAGGTGACCCTATGTACAACCAATACAGTATGATTTTTTTAGTTAGTTCTGCTCAAGATTTCAGGCATGCAAAATCAGTTCCTTGTCAATTTAGCCAGATGGTAAGTCACGTAAATAAACAATTTATGTTTGAAAGTAGTAAAACCAAGAGAAATTTAATTCTATCTCAGCAAAATGGCAACTGACCTTTTCTTAACTAATATCTCCCACTGCAACCATCTGATCAAAAGATAATACAAGAGATATAGACTGTGATTGTCTTTTCTTCCTTCCTTCCACTTTAATTTTCCACAGTTATCCACCATCCTCATCTACCCACCTGGAGTTAAAATATATGTATTATTTGTCTAGGCCACTTGGTCACACCAAGATTCGTAATAATTTCTTCTCTTTCTCCTATAAATCAGTTGTGGATTTTTAGAGATTTTCATATGTTTTGCATTTCATCATCACTAGTTTCATCATAAAGAAGAGCTGTTTAAATTGAAAGAAAAACCTTTCCTTAGCAATCCTGTAAAAACTTATAAATTCTAATGGAAGAATTCACCAAATATTAGTCTCTTCCCACCATTTAAAAAGGTGAGCTAGAGAAGGAATGGGGGATTAAATTTTGTCCTCATTTTTGTTTTGAAAAAGAATGCTGCTGTTTCAAACAGATTTGGCTTGAAGTGTACAAGAGCTAGATGGTATAAAAGTGACTTGCATTTGTAAAGTAGGTAAAAGAAATTAATGGACTACAGATGCTGAACTAATGCAATTAATCACAGGTTATTTCATTCTTGCTAGAGACAACCGTTATTGCGGCATGCAGGTTTTTCTGATGAAGCAAAAAGTTTGTAGCATAAACTACAAAGTTAGGCCAATTCAATTTATTAGATTGGAAAAAACTTATTTTGTAATACCTATCGTTATTTTGGCATATTATTAATCTCTGTACTACTCTGCTATGTCATTGTAATAAACATTCTTCCATATTAACGCAGTTTTCTCCATTAAAAAGAAAAGCTGGTTATCAATAGTGAATAAAAGTATGACTTTACTTGAATTTACTTTGTTTTTTCTTTTTATAGAAGCTGCAAAGAATCGATCCTCCTTACTGTTGTTCAACCTTATCCTGTAAGTATTGTCAATGTTTTCTGAATTAGTTTCCTAGCAACACAGCAGCTTCTTTTTCTGCCCATATTCTGCTGTGTCCCTACATTATCTGTGCAATAGAAAGAAGTGCAATAAGGGCTGTGTCTGTTAAAGGTGGTATTTAAGATGGTATTACTGTGTCCTCTACTCAAAGGCTGCATTAGTAAATTAAAAAATAACTGTCTTTAAACTCATAGTGATAGAGCAGAATTCTGAGTTCTGCTTCAGTTTCTTGTTTGTTGCAGTTCCTGGGTTTTTCTTGATTCTGCCCTGGTCCCACAAAGTTACACTGCTGCAGCAAAGCAGCTGTACTTTATCTAAAGGAGGGCTCTGTCTGCATCTCCAGCTTGTGGAGGTGAAGGGAGAGCAGAGACAGACAGACAACCATGTGAGGCTTCCTTGAATGGACTGGGAGAAACTGCAGCCCATTCAGAGCTGGTTGATGCAATGTGACCTTGCAACTCACTCAGTGGTTTGTGGGAGTGGGCTCATGACCTGTCAGCTCAAACCCATCTCCCATGAAAAAAGGGGAGAGGCAAGCCAGGGGAGGAAACCCATCTGTCCATGCACAGCCATGTGGACATTGCAGGCTGCTGAGGGGGCCTCAGCCGTGCATCAGGAGTAATTCAGATTCAGCAGGTCCATTTGGCTCCCTGGTGTTTAGCCTGATACACAGCAGTTTTCATTAACAAGGGATAATTGCATCCTTTTCAGACAAGAATAAGAGATGAGGTGGATTTGACACAAAGACTTGAAAACAGGTTTATCTGATGAAGTTGCCAAAATGTACATCTTGAAAATGCAACTGTGTGTCTTTGTACTAGTCATTAGCCTTTCTGGTTAGTTTTGAGGTGGCCATGCAGCTTTACTTGTCCTGCACCTTTCTAGAAGCCAGTCTGCACTGCACCTAATTCGTAGGGGAAAAGCATGCATTCCACAGCAAAAACAGGCAAGGGCTACCACCCTGCAGTAAGTCCTCTGTCAGGAAGGTGATCTGAGATCAGGCCAATATAAGTCACCTTAAATGAAAATGAGGCCTGGTCTGACTAAATGAAGAACCTATCTGCCTTTAAAACTTGTCGGTTTACAGCCAGTGGTTTAGGTCATAGTGATTATATATAATGGGGGAAAAGAAATCCTCACCCACTTTTCTTTTTTATGCAGGTTTCATCCATTGACAGACTTAATTCTTATCTATAAATGTCAGGTGAAGAAAGGGCATGTGCTTTAGTGCACCTATGTGTAGCCCTTGAAAGTGGACAGCCAAGTATAATACTGCATCTGTGAGGTGCTGTGACTTCTTATTATTATGCTGCTGGTCTGAGAGCAAGCCCTGTATGAACTGAATTTAAGGGAAGCTGAAACCCAAATAAATTGTGCACTCCATGTTCAATGGAAGACCATACAGCACAGATGCAGTCCTTCTCCAGCCTTTAACCTGGAAAAGAAGGAAAGTCATCACCTGGTGTCTTTACCAAGGGCAAGTCTTGCCTGACCAATGTAGTGGCTTTCTGTGGAGTGACTGCATCAGTGGACAAGGGACAGGCTACAGAAACCTTTCACAGTATTTACCTTAATACTGTAAAGTCTCTGACACAGTTCTCCACAACATCCTTCTCTCTAAATTGGAGAGAGATGGATTTGTTAGGGGCACTGGTAGGTGGATGAAGAATATGCTAGATGCTCACATCCAGAGGGTTGTGGTCAACATCTCAGAATCCCCATCATCAGCTGGACATCAGTGACAAATGGTGTCCCTCAGGGGTCTATAATGGGACCAATGTTAATTAATATCTTTGTCAATGACATAGACAAAGGGATTAGATGCATCCTCAGCAGATTTGTAAGTGGCACCAAGTCAAGTGGGATGGTTGACACACCTGAAGGACCAGAGGGACTTGGACAGGCTCAAGAAATGAGCTCATGGGAATCTTCTGAGGTTTAACATGACCAAGTGTGAGGTGTTGCATGTAGTGACAGGACAAGAGGTAGTAGCTTGAACTGAAAGAGAGTAGGTTTAGATTAGACATTAGGAGGAAATTCTTTACTCTGAGGGTGGTGAAGCACTGCAACAAGGTGCCCAGAGAAGTTGCAGACACCCATCCCTGGAAATGTTTAAGGCCACATTGGATGGAGCTCTGAGCAACCTTGTCTATTAGAAGGTATCCCTGTCCATGACAGAGGGCTTGGAGCTGGATGATCTTTGAGGTACTTTCCATTCTATAATTGTGTCAGTCTGTGATTCACAGCTATGTGTTCAAGCTCTTTGTGAGGCCTGACAAGGCAGAATCTGCTCCTCTCATTAAGTAGCAGCAAAATCTAATCAATATCTGAAAGACCTCTAGATGTCACTGAGCTAAGGATGCTACTGAAACACTTTTCTGTCAGCCGTTTGGACTGATGTTCCCATTTTGTACATGAATTTGCACTGTCCCACTCTGGTATATTGATCAGAGTCCCCCAGCTCTACCTCAGCAGACAAAGCACTTGTGGTTTTGGGAGTGATGGACATTTAAGGTCATGTAGGCATGAAGATAGTCTCCCCAAGGATGTGCACAGAGCATTTAGAAGATGAAATTAATGCCTGCATGTTGGTGCTAGCTTTAATTGACCAATTTTTGTGGTATTTTTGGGGTCCCCCGTGGTAGGAAGGAAATGATGAATCTGACTCCATGTTCTTAGAAGGCTAATTTATTATTTTATGATATTATATTGAAGAATACTATACTAAACTATACTAAAGAATAGAGAAAGGATACAGACAGAAGGCTTAACAAGATACTAATGAAAAACTCGTGACTCTCTGGAGTCCTGACACAGCTAGACCATGATTGGTCATTAAGTCAAAACAATTCACATGAAACCAGTCAAACAACCACCTGTTGGATAAACAATCTCCAAACCACATTCCAAAGCAGCAAAACACAGGACAAGCAAATGAAATAATATTGTTTTTCTTTTTCTCTGAGGCTTCTCAGCTTCCAAGGAGAAGAATCCTGGGCAAAGGGATTTTTCCAGAAAATATGATAGTGACAGACTTTTACCCCAAAGTTGGGATGCTTAGTGAAATGAACTGGTTGGGAAGGCCTTGACTGCAGGACTGTTGCACCTGGAAGATCTTGTCTGTGCAGTATTTATTGTACCTCCCTCCCTGTCAGACCAGGCTTCTATTGATTCACAGCGTCCTCCCCTTACTGCTTTCAACTTAAATTTTTTCTGCAGTGGAAGCGAGGGTGTCTGTAGGGATGTGGAGCAGTTGGGATGATGCCAGTTTGTGCAGCCACCTTTTGGCCCTGAAGCATTGCAAGACCCCTCAGTTTATGCAAACCTTGGGCTGCAAGGTTGCCTGGGTACTCCTGAGTCACTCTGAACATCTGGTCCATGCTGGCCCTCGTACTGCCACCACACCATTGCCGTCACTAGTGCCTGAGCCTGTTGGCATCTCTTTCAGCCTTGCAGTCCCTGGGTGCTGCTGACTCCAGCTGTGTGCTTGTCCTGGTCTTCTGTGCAGAGGACCTCTGACAAACACAATTTGCTTTACAGTTTGGAAATAATGTTTATGCCTTCAAAAATTATGATGCACATTTGTTTAATTTTGCCTCCTCCATGTTTCCTTTTACTATTTTGCTAATAAAACTGGGATGATGAAGTAGGAACCAGACAAAGGAAAATAAGAGCTTTTAAATAAAGACTGAATTTCTTCCCTCTTCTTGACAGAAGTACAACTCAACAAACATTTCATTGATCTCTCTTCTTTATGGTGATTTTCCTTCTACCATTGCATGAAAAATATCTGCCAAGATGGATTACAAAAGTGCTATTTCTTAATTGGTTTTATTTGTGCTATTTAGAGTGTGGTTTGATTTTGCATTTAAGTAACCATCCTTTATGATTGCAGGTGAAAGTAGATATAATCTAGATTTATAGTACTCTGTAGTTCACTTAGTGCTCTGAAAGCTTTTGCAGACAATTTTTGCTTAAATGCATTCAGTTTTGTTTAATGCTTAAACACATTAAAACACATTAAAATTTCATTTTAATTATGACCAAGCCAAAGCATTAGGCTATCTTTTTCTTCCCATAAATCTCTGTTAGGTTCTTATCACCAGTGCTCCTAAGGAGGTCACCAAGCAGCTCAAGCAGTTAAAGCAGTTCAGAGTTTTGATTTCTATAAGTATGGCATTTGATTATAATTTCTGACTGTTTTATTCTGTAAATGAACTATCATTCTGATTGTTGCCTTATTAAGTTTTAAGCATTACTTAGATCAAATAACTTGCCTGTTTGATATCCTTTCAGATTTTATGTGCAGAGATTATTTGATAGGTTGCTTTCATGATTAATCTCTTAAGCTCCTTGGATGAAGTCCAGGCCTGGCTGAGATCTATGGCAATTTTGCTGTGCATTAAGTTTTGCAATGGGAAAAAGATAGGATCTTCTTCTGTTTTGAAAGAGATGCTTCTTGTTTTAACATGGTTATACCTCTGAGACACAACAGTTGCAGAAAAATTACAGTAATTAACATTTATGGGTCATAATGTTTGTGGCAACAATCTTATTGAGAGTTTGTTGGACTAATGATCAGACTGTGATTACCATCTAAAAATGGAATAATATAAATAATGCAAATAATTAAATACAATTGTCTATGATAGATTGCCAACTTTTTAAGAGAGAACCCAGATCTGACCAGTATTCCAACGATTAAATTTGTGCCAAGAGTTTAACAAAGAAATACTCCTGATGATCCTCTGTCAGTGCCATGTGGTTATCACAAATTACTGTGTGGTAAAACTTCTCCACATTATTTCTTCTGTGTCCCTACTTGCTCTTCTACCATGCTCTTGTGAGCCAGTGTAGTCTTTTCAGCCTTGTTCGCAGCTATGAATTACCATATTTAGTTTGCCTTTGGGCATTATGTCCTGTTCCACTTAATAAATGTAATTCTTCCTCTTACTCACCTTTTATTTGCTTGTTAAATACTGGTGCTTGTAATTGCCTTTAGCCTTGAACCAAAAAGTCAACACATTTTTTGCACTTGTGCAATTTTTTCCTTATTTTCTAGGATACTAAGTATTTTATATTAAACTAATGACTATTTTTAAATAACAAGCTTAAAATTTATTGTATATATACACTCTGTGGCTATTTAAAAACTACAGTGTTTCTGTAATTTTGAATGTAGTATTTCTAATTTTGATATTTACAGTTACTGAGCAGATTTTCTTTTCACCTTGTGATTGTCCTATGCTACTATCATTCTATTTCTTTATGATATCTCAGTACTACACTGTGCTCTTCTAGCTACTAAATCCTTTTTTTTTCTTGAGCATGAGTAAAGGTTTTGCTGTTGCAGCACCTCTACTGGCAAGAGCACTCAAAGGGGCTTTTTCAGCAAATAAAACCCGCTTCCTTCGCAATCTCCCCCAAATTATAGTTTATGCCTGGTGTGTGAAGCACCAGACATTTTTACTTCCACCAAAAAAGTTTTCCTCATAATGTAGGCTATTGTTTCTAAAATCTATTAATAAATGACCCGCTCTAATGCTGCTGGCAAATATAGGATCTGATGTTGAGAAGTCTAGAAAATGCGAAAGTAACATTTTCCTGAAAGTCTCCTCTGCAATCTTTTGTGTTTTGACCCTGCTGATGGGAAGCCAATTGATTGCAGTCACTATAAGCAGGGTTCAAAGTAGGGTCTAGGTCTTCACTATTATTTCCTCCAAGTATGTGTGCAATGCTTCATTTTTCTTGTTAGCAGTTTCCCTAAGTAGTGTTGAAATGATCAGCTGATATTTTCCTTTGAATTCTATGTAAACAAGTAAAAATTATTTAAAATCCTAATAAATTTGAGCTTTTAATAGGAAACAGGGCTTAGGTCAAACAGAGTAAAGTTTGGAGGGTTTTGAGTTATTTTGACTCCTTGTTAAAATATGTGCCCTCATTTTGCAAAAGTCACTCTAATTAAGCTGTTTTTATCTGTGACAATGCAAATACTTTACTTGCAGTGATAGATGTCCTGCATTAGTGTAAACACCTCCTGCTTAAGGTCATTAACTGAGAATAATGGCATCCATTTGGCTAAAACACAGAGCCTCAGAAATGAATTATTATCTGGCACGATGAGAATCATTAAGTGGTAGCATTCTTCTACAAACCTAAAGACATTAAAATACAATAGAGCTGCCCATCATCTTGCTGAGGCTTTGTTAGACAGGCAAGTTCCAACAATCAAACCTAACTGTTGTCCCAGGTATTTGCACATCCTTTGGAAACACTTCTATTCCCAACGAGAAAATGTCAAGTGTCAAGTTGATGCAGGGGTAGAAACAGTGACATTGTGCAATTAAACACAAAAGCTGGGCTATTACTCAAACCTTTAACCAGCAGAGAATGTTCTCCCAAATACCTGGCACAGCTGTTTCATTTTCTTACACCCCTAGTTTATAGTTTGGAGCTTTATGGAAAACAGTCTGCTCCAGGCTCACCCGGAGTGCCTGGCAAAGGGCCAGAGTCCTTTGCATGTTGCCACAGCAAAAGTGGAAATGAAAAGAAGTGCCGTGTTTTATGGCAGACCATGGTGTGCTCCCCTGGCTGTGCAATGGGTACATTAAACCCCACATCCCAGAGGGGTTCTTGGTAGCCCGCATATGTTCAAACCTTTAGTGTTGATTGCATTTTTGTAATAACATAATTTAAGTGTTTATGCCTCCTGCAAGTGACTTTTGAGGCTGTAGAGAGAAAAAGAGATTGTAGAGAGCAATAGGGACACATACTGGTTTTCCAGAATTGCTGTATGGGAATAACCTTGCCAGAATCCAGAAAAAATTTGGCAGTCTGCCTGTCAAGAGAGGCCAGACTGGTGACTCATCTGTAATAAAAGCAAGCAACAGCACAGAGATTTTTTCAGCAAGAATAGTAAGAGAAAGCCACTGTTTTCCCCATGTTCTTGCAAGGGAAAGCCAGTAGCCTAATCCTGCTGCTGTGCTGCCCTGTGGCAGTGGAATCAACAGTTTTTCAATCTATTACTTGGGTGCCACATAGACTATCCCCCTTACACATTGCAGAGGGGGACAACATGGAGAGGAAGGAAACTAGAGAAGGCATCTCTAGAGTTGTTTTATTAATCATGGTACTGTTTTATACTGTATCTTTCTAGGAATTAATCTCCAGAGGACAGTATTTAAACTGCTTCAGCATTTCCATATTGTCCCCTCTTGCTGAAGAAGTTAACGAGGTTCCCCACCCTGAAATGCTTTTTTTTTTCCCCACTATTCTTTTTTTTCTTTTTTGGTGGTTGTTTCAAAACTTCTGGGGACCTTCCTCTTTTTTCAGTGCTGACTCTGGAAGCTGGTCTTGGTTTGTTCATGGGGTTGAATTTCCTGTTATTTACAGTTATTAATTATTGTGTGGTCATATGCGCTAGAGAGGTAAGAAAGAACGAACTGTGAAAGCAAAGAAGCATTTATTTTTATTTCTTGATTCTATTTTGTGCCTCAGGAATTACTGGATGCCTCTGATATTTCCTGGGAGAATGTGGTAGTGTTCATTCCTTGTTCACTGGTTGATACTGAACCTATAGTAATAGTTACCACGTTTTCAATGTGATGATAGATTTGAGGCATGCAGAAATGAACTAGACTTGCTCCTGCTAGTTACTAGAAACAGGTAACTGGCTGGTTAAGAAACAAGGCTTCTGCATCACAAGAAAATAAATTTTTAAGCCGTTTCAGCAGAGATCAAAGACAGAAACAGAGGAGCACGTTGTTTCCACCTTGGACTACTCCATTGCTCCTGGAGATTGTTTGTTGAGTCAGAATTTGAGTGATAGAAATGAGACTTCCCATGTTTACAAGGACAGCTCTCATGCCACATTGATCATCACCACTTGTGCCTCCACTTATTTCTCACAGGAAAACCAACATGACGTAAGTCTTTATTCAAAACTAGTAAGGCCACTTAGGACTCAGAGTAAGATTCTGAAATTCTTAATTCACATTTTCACGAAACAAATGGATCGAAACCTGGCCCAAAAGAGCTCAGTGACTTTCAGCTGAAGTGAGAAAGTCTTCCATTGCCCAGTATTATGGTCATGAAGTGAGGCAATGCCAAGAAGCACTGTGTTTGCAACTCACCTGAGAATAAACCAACCTCACTTCTGCTGCTGAAAATGGAAATCCCATTGACTGTGAATATTTAATTTGTTACTAAAAAGTAGCTGTTAGTCAAATTTCTCAAGTGAGGAGATTTTTTTTCCCAGGGATGAAAACAGGTGAACCCATTGCATAATGTGGTAGGTAAAAGTCAAGTTGGTCCCAGAAGAAAATTCAGAATGCTTCTACATTTCTAATCCATGAAGCCCTATAACATGTCAATATTGATGGCACAGGGTGTGTTTAGGGGATGCCTTCAGGGGAAGCCTGATGGCCTGCAGGTGCCTCTTGGTGGTTTTCACCTGTGCTCTGAAGTGCACAAATACAGTGAGATGCCACTCCATTTGGAGACCTCACAGACACTTTTTTTTGCAAAAGTTGTGTGTATGTCTGTCCAGTAGATCACAGATTATGCAAAGATTTTCCATTCAGTCTGTAAAGAAAGGGCCACCGGTAGGTCTCTGGTCAGTGTCCCTTCATGCAGACAGGGTTGGGTGGCAGCAGTCATTGTGGGAACACTACAGGAATTTCTGTGTGGGTTCTCAGTAGAACCCTTCTCATTGCTCCAGTCTAACAGTGGGATAATTTCCAGTATGTTCAGTATGTACTAGTGTTTCCTTATGTGTATGTACATAGAGTCTACCTTAGGATGCATAATGGTTTGACTGCATTTCCATCCTTCTATAAGCAAAATGTTGCTGTATGCATGGAGTTTCCAGCATATAACAGGGGGAATAACTGAAAAAAGAAAAGAAATGTTTTAATTTTAAGTTATGTGATATATCTTGTCATCATCTTTTCTTCCAGTCTCCTAAATCAGCTTTTATTAGTGCTGCAAAAAAGGCAAGATTGAAGTCCAATCCTGTCAAAGTGCGCTTCTCTGAGGAAGTAATTATCAATGGGCAGGTGTCGGTGAGTATGCAGCTATTTAACCTCAGAAAGGATCGTGCATTTCATCCAAAGGTACAGCTCAGACTTGGAAAGGGAGGTAATTACATGGCAGGAAAAGCAGTGACAGGCTTGCAAATAGGAGGGTTTTTCTGTTCTGAAGTCTTCCAAAGATCTTTTTTCAAGTTCACTAGGCCCATAATTTTATGAAAAATTTGTCCCTTAAAATGAAATAAAGATGCTAGTGAATGAATATTGTGGTGATAACATGTTTGTCTTTATAGTCTTGTTAGTGTTTGTCTGTTGGTTTCTTTGGATCAACTTTGTTTTCATAAAACCCATAAGCTCAAGAGAGGTACCATGTCAGAAAAACTGATTAAGATTTTAACTGATTAACCTCACAGACCACTTTAAAATTTGTTTTATCTCCTTGAACTTATTGTTACCAGACCTCAGGCAATGTCAGCCTCCCTTTGAGAGGCACTGAACTCCTCCTCAGACATGAACTCACAGCTCATTTTCATAATTTGCCAGAGCATCATTCCACACTCATGTCTTTTCCCAACTCTCTTCCAAACCTAAATTGATACTTTTTTTCCAAAGCAATTTCTGCTTTTTAAAATAAAAATAAGCAAACAAAATCTCCAAAGATTTGGTTCCCTTCCTTCTGCTTTTATATTTTGCTATACTGGTTATGAATCATCAAATTAGGTAGCAATGTTATATCTTGTTCTTCTTAAATGATGAAAGAAATAGCAGCATTTAATATCCCTCTATAAAGAGCATGTTAATTACCTTGATTGTAATCCTTACTAGCAAACTGTAGTTTCAAATTTTTAGATTGAAAACACTAAATAGCTCACTATATTCAGAGAAACAGTAATCCATTTTTCTATTTTAGTGAAAATGTTTCAACTTCAGAGGCAATATTTATTGTCAGACAGATAGTATTTAGGGAGAGTACTCCAGGCCAGACATAAAATGTATGTGAACATTTATATTTTTCCAGGACAGAAACCTACAGAGAGCAGCTGTAATGAGCCTGGCTAGACCCTTGCAGGGCACGGATATATCTGCTTTCAGTTTGGGCCAACACCTTCCTTCTCAGTTTTTGCTTTTCTGTCAGAATGATGTACTTCTTGATAGAACAATGTTTATATTTCACTTGTTGCATGTTGTAATCTGATTCACTAATTTGCTTGACAGGAAACAGTTAAGGACAACTCGCTTCTTTTCATGCCAAATGTTCTAAAGGTGTATCTTGAAAATGGACAAACCAAATCTTTCCGTTTTGACTGCAGCACTTCAATAAAGGTAAGCTAGCTATTCCTTGGTATGAGACCTTCAGTAATTATCATTTACTTGGAATGCTTTAAAAACAAAATTACTGGTGTGTTCGGTTTGAGTTGGACTCTTAGTTCACAAATAATGAGGATTTGGTCCATCTTTCTGTTCCTAAAAATATATTGTGTACAGTGAAGAAGAAGTGATGACTTTAATGTGCTTGGAGCACAATCAAAATTGTGTGCTTGTATCATTTTGATATGCTGCCAAAGAGTAGCATGATTTGTCAGCAAAAGTCAGGAGCTAAGAAGATTAAGATGTTGGTTACTGATTGAATATCATCCAGCTTATCATTCAGTGAATTTAGGATGGAATATTGTAGGATTATGTTGGTGATAAATTACTTGCCTCAGTGCAGTGCCCTCTACACTTTCTATAGCACATTTCACATGCAGAAATAAAAAGGTAAAGCCCTGGCACAAAACGGAGTCTGCCAGGGAATGTGTGTGACACTGTTCCATGTGGGTTCCTAAATCAGAGGCATCATCAGTGTCTCTGAGAGCCTTGGAGCAGTGTGGTAAGCATCAGGGCTAGCATTACTGTTTGGGGAAGCTAGTTTCAATGTGTACTGGTTACCAGATCTAGAGTTTGGTTATCAAATCTAGACCGAGACATGAGAGGGGCATGGGTGGGATGGTCGATGAAGGCTGGGGATGCCAATTTTAGCTAGTTTTGAGGGATTGTAAGGCCAGGAAAATTTAAAGAAAGGCTGCCTTTGTGCTCAGCAGCATGCTCAATCAGTTCGAGCAGCACAGAGAGTTATTTACTAATGCAGACAAGAAATGTACTCCAGTCTGATGGCAAAACATGCTAGAGTCACACTTGAAAACTGCATGCAACATTTGTTAATAAATGTAGCATATATGCCTTAGGCATAAATTGCATGCAGGTATGGATACAAGCATTCCATCCATGGGATACATCCATGGGATACTGAATTCCTTGAGTTAATTTGAAAATTTGGCTGGTGAAGAAATAGCAGACATTTCTCACGTAGCTAGTGAGTTCTCCATACCCTTCTAAGGTGCACAAGTCCACTTTCTAGTATTTTCTGTTATGAGCATATAAACTACCAACCTATTCCCGGATGTTTTTCCCCTGAAGACCAGTCTTTGGCCATCACATTACATTAGTTTTCAGTAGTTCTGTCGTGGATGTGTCATGTACTATCAGACCAAATGTCAAATGTGAAGTCATTGGCACAGATACCCGTGTGAACTCAGTTACCTATCTGTATTGATTTTGTAAGCCTGCTTTGAACTTAGTAATTTTGACTATTGGTAGGAATAATTTCCTTTGCATCTAATTCAGGCAATTATATATTCTGAGGCCTTCACAGCTCTAAATGACATATTCTTGTGTGTGTGTGTGTATTCCTCAGTGTGGATGGGTGGGTGTGGATTGTTGCTTCTCTGCTTAACTGGGGTGACATCACCCAGGTGAGTCAAGGTAAATGCAGGTTTTTTCATCTCTAGTCCAGTAGTTCATCACTTAAAAAGAAGGGTATAAGCAGCACCTAACCTGCAATCCTCACTTTCCATATTCTTGGGTCATGGCACCTGGGCTCACTCTGAAATTATCAGATGGGAGGAAAAGCAAAAACTTTGGTGCAGTAATTCAGAGGCTTTGTGCCTTATATTTTAAAAGGCCCAGAAGAGCTAGTAGTAGAAAGCAGTGCCATTACTACCCTCTTTTAAAAGCTTATATTTAGTATTATGCTGCTTCATGTTACTGTTATGCCCATAGTCTTTTAGCATAGCTTAGAAGTATAAATAAAAGTCAATTTAATGTGTAAGTAATAAATTCCCCATTGGTCAGAATAGTATAATATTAGCCTTTATTATTTAGAGTGATAGCTAGCAATTCATTGATGCTGTCTTATATTCTCTACATTGTAGAGAGCTGTCCCCATCTTCCCACTTACATTTTTTCATCCTTCCACCATTTTTCTCTTGATTTTCCTTAAACACTATGTAATTGATCAATTAATCTTCCTAAATTATGTTAAAACACTTGGATTATAATTTGTCATGATCTCCTTAGTAAATACTATCCATCTGGATACTTACGTATATTTGAAAATCTTTCAGATGGAAGGAAATGTTTTAATCTTGTCACTAACATACTGTGAGACTGTTTCTAAATGATGGGTTATTATGCATTTCTTTTTCCTACAATATTCACTAAAGTAAAAGATACCTTGACAAATGATATTAATAATCTGCATACATTTACAAAGCGTTATATGAAAGTAAGGTAGGGATTAGTTGAATGGTTTTGTGGAGAGGTTTGTTTAGCTGTTATTTTAGATACAGTCGTTCCCAAATTAACTCTCCTTAGTCATAATTCAGTGTGAAAAAAGCTAATCAGGACTCTCTAAAAATTGATGTGGTCCATCAGTTTAGAGCTATTTTTCTGCACAGTCATCATCATTGACTTTTCTGTCAGCATTAAAAACACAAGAAGTGAAATTAAAAACCCTTTGCTATAAGAACAAATAAAGGCCATTCATCTAATTTTTTTTTGTTGAACTTATAAATTTGGTTTGTCTACTTGATGGCGTGGCCCTGATAAAGGGAAGAGAACAGTTATAAGACCATCTCTTCTTTGCTGATGGGTTTTATTTCCAGGGAGACAAATATGATTTAAGGGCCACACCAATATAATTGACATGTTAAATCACAACAGAATGTTGTCCATTCCTGGCAATCCCATTTATGTGTTTCTCACGTTCATATCTCTTACTATCTTGGGGATATTTGAAGAATCGTTGTGATGTCCTGGAAACTTGTGCAAAACAGACACAAAGCCTGGGCTTCTGCCCTGTGCTGGGTACATACAGGGTGTGTGGCAGTGAACAACTGGATCCCAAGCATTTCATTAATTTAAGCACTTTTTATAAATCCTTTGTTAATTAGGATGTCATCTTAACACTCCAAGAAAAGCTTTCCATCAAGTGTATTGAACACTTCTCCCTAATGCTGGAGCAGAGAGTTGAAGGATCTGGAACGAAACTCCTTTTGCTACATGAACAAGAGACTCTAACTCAGGTTTGTGTAATGGTCTATGAAAACAGATATTAATGAGATGGATTAATCAGTAAATTTTCCATCTTTTTCATTAGTCAGATGAGTTAGCTGCAAGCTTTTTAGTTTGATACAGTCTATCAAATAGCTAGGATATTTAGAAGTGATTGTATGAATAAGGTTCTCACAGGAATTTTCTGTTATAAAAACATCGTATTTCATTGCTTTTTTTGGCCTTTCAAAAATATAAAGAAATCAAAAATCAGACTGAAATCTGAGAAATGCTTTTCATATCACATGAGACCCAGCTACTGAACATACTCAACAGCTGGCAAATCCATGGTAACAATTCTGAGAAGCACAGTCTGGCCAAATTTATTTAAAAGCCTTATTTTGATATTTTGTTCCAATTTGATTGTACAGATCTGTATCTGTGTGACAGGGAATAGTCTCTCTCTGATGAAGTCAAGTTTGGCTTGTTTACACAGAGGTACGTTGTGTCACTTCATTGATGATGAAATGTGACACAGAAAATGTTGGTTCCTTCCTTAGATCAGGGAAATGTGACTAAAGTTAAAGTTTCTTCACAGTTACCAGCAGAGTACTCTGATTTTATCTGCTTATCATTTTGCCAAATTGTTTAGCCTGAAATTTTCTATTATATTTCTGTGTTTCAGGAGAACATTAGTATATTTTTTTTAATTTCAGTTAAATTGGAAAAAGAAGGAAAAAGGAGAAATGGATTGTTAGATGTGGAAAAATACTTAATTTAAATGACAGAATTCCTGTAATTATAATTAGTCTGTGTAATGGTGTGAAGGAGCTTAGTTTACCAGATAACAGTCTTTCTAGCATTTTCCAACCTTTAAGCACTTGCTTTTGCCATGTTAACATTCTTTTCTTGCGGGTATAAGCTACCCAGTGATTGAACAATATCCAGAAATACTCAGTACTTGTCCTCCTAGCCCAGCCATCTCCTTGAAGTTATTGGTAAAATTCTCACCGAAATAAGAAAGATCAGAATAAACCAAGTTAGTGAGCTTTCAAAAATCCCATCTGGAGCTTTTATTAACTTGTACAGAGTATGTCTATATACTTAGGAAAGAAGTGAGACAATGTGCAATAAATAGAACTTTTGAAAATTGTTTGAGCATGACAGAGACTTCTATTGGAGATTTTTAAAAGTACAGTTTTGTCAAGAAAATACGTTGATTTTAAAGTACCCTAACACTCTAACTGCATTAGCCTAATGAATAAATTACATAAACTACATTAATTCTGAGGGTATCTTCTTTGAAGTTCTTGTAAAATCAGCAATATTTTAATTTGCCATCATAATGTTGCTGCTGACCATGACTTAGAATGGTGGGTTTGGATTGTTATCCAATTATTCCTTTGCTAGGCAGTGGTCTCCTGTGAATATACCCAGATAACAGAGTTAGATGCTTAAAAAAGTTTTGCTGACCAACACATAAAGCAGACTTTTTAATTTTTTAATGCACTGGATCTTAGTCAGAAGTTATGGAGTAGATCTCTTAATCCAGAACAATCCAGGAAAAAGACCTAATTTCTCTCAATTTGCCTCATGTATTAAAACAAGCAAGAGAAGGTGAGAGTCATTGCTGCCAAGTTGCACCTCACCACTGTTCTCAGACAGCCTAAGAAATAAAATGTGACCTCTCCCCAAACACCTAACTCTTCTCTTTTATGTGTTTTAGTCCTGCTGAAGCTCAATTCAGTTTTCATTTCACTTGGATGGTTTTTGTTAAGATCTGTTTTATCTGTTTCGCCCTGGTTTTGAGTGAATTCTGTTGCTTTGAGGATGAGTTGTATCAGGCAGTCATGCCTGTATGAGTCTAAAAGTCCTTCCACAAGATTATATATACAATGTTCTTAGGTGAAGAATTTAATAAGTTGCCCATGGAAAAGCTTTTTTTTTTGGCAGAATTATTTTTCCTGCTACTACAGGGCTCTGGAGCAGGGTAACATTGCCCGAGGCTATGGACCCTGTTGCTCTACCAGGGTTGCCAAGCTCTAATATTATTATTGCACTGTCCTAGGTGACCCAAAGGCCAAGCTCGCATAAGATGAGATGTCTTTTCAGGATTAGCTTTGTCCCAAAGGATCCCATTGATCTTTTAAGGAGAGATCCAGTTGCTTTTGAATATCTCTATGTACAGGTAAGTGAAAGCACAGCCATTGCTGGTGTAAAGGAGAATAAAAAAATACACTTACTCTATATATAAATTTACATCTTCACATAGAAAAGCATGGTTGCAGTGAATTCTAGCTTTTATTACTGCTGCATAAAGCCAATGAATGCACTTGGGGAATGTGCAAATCTCTATCATCTGCAAAGTCCTCTTTCTTCATAAGTCTCTCCAAGTAGTAATGCTTTGATATCTTTCCAAAATATATTTGTCTTTAGAGAAGAGTGAAGCTGAATTAACTGTTAATACTTATTTATGGTACTGTAATATCAGACAGAAATGATGTCTGAAAGGCACTTCCAGTAAAGGGGATGGGAGAACTGATGTACAAGCAAGGTGGTTCTCCTGAGTATCTCACCAGGTGGAGTCCTGCTATCCTGAATCCAGGTATACTGATACCCTCCAAGCACTCTGTGATGGAGGATTAGTCTTCTCTCCAGGAAGGCTGAAGAGAGCTTAGGTGAAAATAATCATGCCTTGTGCTCTTTGGCAGAAGTACTGGCATTCTTCATTAGTGTCCATATCATAAATACCTGTCACCTCTGAAAGCAAAAACAGAGTTCTGCTTCTGAGTTAAGGGTTACTTTTCATGAAGTGTTAATTTAAAAAAGAAAATAAAAAATGGGGGGGATGAAATAAAAGAACAGTAATTTATTTTTAGTGCAAAATTTTTTAACATGATGCTCCCTCTACTGGTTCTTTGGCAGAGCTGTAACGATGTGGTCCAGGAAAGATTTGGACCAGAACTGAAATATGACATTGCCCTGCGGCTGGCTGCATTACAAATGTATATTGCAACTGTGACCACCAAGCAAACTCAGAAAATCTCCCTCAAATACATCGAGTAAGTTGAGAATGCTGTGTGTTCTTTAAAAGTGAAACATTAGGAGTAACTTGCAGATTATTTAAGGCTGTTTCTTTAGTATGTCTGTATGCATGCACCAGTTTAGATTTAATCTTTGTCACTGAAATTAATTCAGGTGTGTTAAGAGTGGTGCATTTTGTCCTTTGGGTCTCTTTTACCTTTTGATCATCTGTTTGGGCATGTGAAATAAACGATAAATGTAAATATGATTAGCTCATTTGCTTTCAGTGATTTAAGATCTAAGTTTATATGGTCTGAATCCTATGGTTTTAGTAAAGATTATTATTGTAAGATTCAGATTATTGCTTTGTTCAGAGGACAGTAGGTCACAGACTTGGGTTTGTAATATTTCTTAAATACAGATGTACTCCAGTAGGCATCTGTCCTATGTTAGACTCTATATATATATAAAACTAGATATACATACATACATATATACAACTAAAATGAAAAATAAACATTGGAAAGTGCAAATGTGTGTATATCATTATAGACTGAAAAAAAACCCACAACAAAATAAAAACTCCAAGCACTAAAACTTTTGTTGCTGTTGCTTAGTTTGCTTGCAGAATGGAAATAATAACTGTTACACACGCAGTCCTGAAGAGTTTATCCCTCATATTGAAGGCAGTGTTATATTCTATCCTATTAATGAATCTGCAAAAATAGTGATGAGTGAAGAGTCAGTCTTCTGTCAAAAGGGGCGCTTCAAGCAGAAAAATAATTTGGTAAATGGAGGCAAACTGGTTGCATTTGAGGAGGAACCAGACCTCCCCCCCCAACCCCCAAACATAAAGGTGACAAGAAAATAGCTCTGTTTCCATGTTCTAAAAGAAACCAATAAAATAGAATTAAATTTGTTAAATTATCTGCTATTTTAATTCTGTAATCATACTTGTCAATGTAATTTAGTGTCTGACATAGACTTTAGATATCAAACTTAAATATTCTTTTCTGAATGGCATGGATGAAGAGATGGAAGGGGTAGAAGAGAGATTATTTATCATTTTAAAATGCCTTTCTTGTCAAAAATAAAATGTTTAAATTTAAGAAATAACATGTTATTGCAAAACTCTGGACTTGATCAACTCTCCTTTTGTTTTCAGGTAATCATTCACTTGGCATCGTAGTCACCAGTCTTTAGATAAATAATCATCACAGGAATGTGAAATTAAATATATGCCTTTTATTGCAGAAAAGAATGGGGATTAGAGACTTTTCTTCCATCTGCTGTGCTGCAAAGCATGAAAGAAAAGAACATAAAGAAAGCACTTTCCCACCTTGTCAAAGCAAATCAAAACCTAGTTCCTCCAGGCAAAAAGGTATTACATTTGCATCTTAATAGAAAATATGTTTTAAAGAACAAAAGTATGGCATGCATGGGACACCTTTAAAGCTAATCTTTTGGAGAAACACCTAGCCATTTTATTTTCAGATTTAACTTTGGGTGCTGGTGCAACATAGCCAAAAACTATTAAAAATAATTAATTATGTCCCAGATAAATTATCTTCTTATCTTGAGAATGACAGAGGACTGGTTATTAATACTTCTTGTATGATAACCATATATATATTTTTTCATTAACTTAGCACTTTCTATGAATGGCAGATTTGCTAGGAAAGTTTTTCTTCTCTCTCTGATGCTCTCATCTGACATAAATGCTGTTTTTCAGATTGTTTTCTGTTACACTGTAGAGAAAGACTTTTCGCTGGCCAAGATCTAACTGGATAGATGATGGTCCTTGCTGTAAATGACCCTCCTTGCTGTTGTAAAATACTTTTCTTAGCACTAAGCTTTCACTTCAGCTGGAAAAAACACGGATAAGACAATGTCTCTGAGAAATGCCTTTGTTACATGCACGCAGAGAGACTGCTTTTAGACACCAAAATGTGGTTTCTTAGTGCAGGTCATCTTCTCATGTGTAGTCAATGGAGAGAAATTGGCACTTCCAGGGAGCGATTCATCCCATCCCACATTCGGGACAGAAATAGGTCAGATTGCTTGTGCCCTAGAAATGCTTATGTCTGTTCATGGACTATAAAAAGAACCTGAGAGTGACTAGTTGAGACATAAAATGAGCTGAATCCTGCTTCATGACACTTTGTTTGTGAACTAAAAAACCTCAAAACAGCTGGTGCCTGAACTAAGGCTCATTGTCATCAGCAGAAGTCTTTCTTGGAGGTTTCAGAACACACTGTGAGTGTGAACATAGCTCTGTGTGTCTGACCTTATAGAAGAAAGGCTGAAGCAGTGCATGTCTCCTATATTTCTGAAACTAAAGCTAAATTATGCCAATGGCTTATTATTTATCTTGGTAGTATAAATGTGGAGTTATTTTGGAAGCCATCACTGCTGCAGGCCTTACTGGTGTGAGATATGCCTTACAGTGGCATACCAGTATCAGTTCTTGGTTAGGAGAGGTATTGCAACAGTCCCTTCCTGCACCAAGCAGACTTTGTTGGGTTTGCCTTATTCTTTTTGATTTGAGCTTTGGAAATGCGTGTTCACCAACCTGCTTTCGTAGCAGGTAGGTCTGAGAAAGAAAGCATCCAAGCTCTTGATCACCTCCTGTCTCACTTGTAGGTACCACCACAGGAACTAACTGATTTCTTTCTGAGGTCTTCTCTTCCTTCACATGAAGGGTAGCTTGTCATTCTCAGGATTCTCCTGGCCTTTTATACAACCGTTGTGTATTTCTGCACCAAGTTAACACCTGGTGCAGCAAAAGGCAAAGCATTACCACTACTTGCTCTGCTTTGGATCCATTTCCTCATTGTTGTCTAGCAAAATTTAGGACAGGGGCCCTTAAAATGCTGTTCAAGATTAAATAAGATTTTGAATTGGAAATCCAGTGACTGGAATGAAACTAGCAAATGATATGAGACTGTTTTATATTATCTTCTAAATGTTCAGATGTAAGGATTTACACAAGGGAAGTGTAAGGTTTGGATTCAGACTGCTGAAATGAACTGTTTCTTGTTTCCCTTCTGTCTCATAAAATATTTCCAAGTTTTCTTTTTGAAGTAGGCAGTTTAAGCTCAGAGGAAAAAAAGAGGAGACAAATTCTGACATCTATTATATAACATGATCGTATGTATTCATGTGCTGTATTTAGCTTTCTGATTTATTACCTACTAAATATAGTGGGAGTGTTATTTTAGAAAGTAGGAAATGCAGTAACAAGGTGGAATAATATGCCCAACACCACAAGTACCTAGCAAAATGTAAAATATGTAGCTGACAAATGCAAATTCTCTGTTCTCTTTCTCTGTATAGGTACATAAACGTTTAAGAATTGATGGAGTTTATGAATGGAAAGCTGCTGTCTTAGCCTTGAAATCCCTCAGTGAACAGATGTTTAATCTGAGTACTTTAACATTTTCCCTTCATTAAAGCAGTTAGGATGTTCTTGAAGTGCTCTGATCTGCCCATTCCCAAGTCCTCAGTGCATTTTAACTAAACAAGCAAGATATTAATTTTAAGAATGAAATTGTTTCACCTCATCTGAAGCTCAAGCATCTCAAGATTTAGTTTCAGGCTCCAAAGAGCTGTTATTGCAGACTATTCTCTTTATGTTACACAAATATGTTTTCTTTCAGAATTTTATAATGTGATGATTTTCACAACTACCTCTTACCCCTGTTTCTCCTTTCTCAGCTCTCTGCTCTGCAAGCCAAGGTGCATTATCTAAAGTTCCTCAGTGATCTGCGATTATATGGAGGGCGTGTCTTCAAGGCAACACTAGTGGTAACATTTCTCTTAAAATAGTCTCTTCTCTTGATGTTTTATCTAATGCCCTTTTTTTTTTTCAAAAGCTGGATCATATAATTTTCTTTAGAAGTTTAGGTTCTATTCATATGCTTAAAAATAATTTTTAGTTTAACCAAATCACTTTTTGCTTCTTTTAATCTTGAAAATAACATATCTGTTATAATAAAAATTGTATTGGGAATTTGGAGATAGATAGTACTTTCTTAGCAAATAACACCATCCAATTATCTATTGAATGCTAAAGTTGTTAGTCTGGAAAAATCTTAATGACCAAGTTTTTCTTTTAACAGAAGCAGAGTCCATCCATCGTCTGTCCATCTAACTATCCACCTAAAATCTAGAGTGCAATCAACATACAGCAAGAAATTCCTTTACTTTTTTTTTAAAATTATGAATCAAGTATGCTCTTGTGTATCGTATCTATCTAGTAAAAACATAATAATCTTTAATGTAGAAATACCATGCAAATGTAACTCTGTGTAACTGAAAGAAGTACCTATCATGTTTTTTACTTGTGTTTTCTTTCTTTTTCTGCTAAAGCAGGGAGAAAAGCGTTCAGAAGTGACTCTGTTAGTAGGGCCACGGTACGGAATCAGCCATGTGATAAACACCAAAACAAACCTTGTGGCTCTCCTGGCAGACTTCAGCCACGTGAACAGAATTGAGATGTTTACAGAAGATGAAAGCAGTGTTAGAGTTGAGCTGCATGTCTTAGATGTAAAAGTAAGTTTGTTATTATTTGTGTTGATATAGCATCTTTTAATAATGCTTTTCTCTTTGAGTATTAGATTAAGCTATGCTGTTCTGAACATGTTCATGCCAATAGTACTCTGAGAGTACATTTTCTGCTCTTTTTTTGGTCACAGTACATTTATACTACAGGTTGGGCCTAAGTGTACTAAGCTGGTGTTTTTCAGCACCTGCATTCTACTTTGATTTTTCTCTCAGCTGACCCCCAGAAACTTGCTTTGTTATTGTTTTCATGGATTTCCACGTTAAGAAGAGGTGATGATGAAACTGACCTTCTTTTGAAGCTCCTTCTAGTGTAATATACATTATCATTACCAGTAAAGAATTGCCAGCTGCTTTGGACCAGTGTCCCCTGTAATCCAGTGTTATATCCACAAAGTTTACTGCAAGTAACCACCTAAGAGATGCCAATTTAAAAAACTGTAAGAATGAATGGGGTTTTCTCCTTAAGCTTTATAATTCCAGTTCGGTATTCACAGATGCTCATCATCTACCTGTAGTCATTTAATTTCTTTTAAATATCACTTAACACTCTGCATATGTGTGGCATCTAGTGGCAAAATGAGTGGAATTTTGCATGTTATACTGTCCTGGTTGGTTTTAGTGTGGTTTCTATTTGGCTTTGAAGTGAAAGGCTTCATAGACTTTCTAGGGCATTAATCTGAATAACAGAGATTGAAGGTAGAGTTCTCATTGTATTTGAAACTTAAATATTTGATTAAAATAAATAGAACCTAACAGTTCTCTTTGCTTACCCAGCTATACACAAAAAGCACACATGAGGAATATTTTACTAGGCTTTTTCTTTGAAATCTTTAGGTGTATTGACCTGGAAGTGTTTCTCTGTATTTAAGGTAATAAAAAAAATTGTTGTAAAGTAATGTTGGTGCTCTTTGACAGCAATTTAAGACAAATTTACAGGTTGGTGAACACAGCATCTCTTTTACCTTACTTACTTAGCAATGGTAACACCTGAGGATCTCAGGCTGCTTTGCCTGCATTACTGTGCTAAACTCATAGCCCTCTTGTAAGAAAGCTATTATCACCTTTTTACAGATGGGGAAAGTAATATAGAAATTAAATCCTTCCATATGCTGCACAGTATGCCATAGTATTATGTATTACCATGGTATTATGTTGTTATATATTATAATGCAGTTACTGTCTTATTGCTAATTGTGCATATCCTCATCTCCTTGCACTTACACATGTGATCTTAAACCCAGAGAGACTGACTAAAAAATAAAAATCTAGGAGGCTCTGGGTGGAATTTGACAAAAAGTTGCCGCTCTGTGGGGCACAAGTAGGGGTTGTGACCATGTCCTGTAAAGGAGATAAAGACACACACTGGTAGGTATTCTCAATGATGTTTTCATCCTTTCATTTACCCTCAAGTAGCAGATTCATGTATCCAGATTCTGAATGTACCAATATATATGATATTATTTTCTTAGCAAACAGACAGTTCAGATTTCTATTTTATTTTTGTTGTTTTGAATATGTTCTCAAGAATGTTTCACTTGGCAGAAGCAGGCAATAAAAGTTTAGCTGTCACAGAACTTTTCAGCAGATTAGCACTACTTCACAGAATTGTTTTCAGCAATCTGAGAGTTCTGCAGAGTTCATCAATTTCTGCCAATCACTGCAGAAAATTTGAGATGAATGTAGCATTTCAAATGTCAATTTCAAATGTGATTTCAAATGTCAAAGGTTTTAGTATTTTGCTCAAAAGAAGAGATTAATTAATCCACTGTAGGTTTAATAATTTATAATAACTATAATAGCTATAGTTGGATACCTTGAAAGAAGCATGTATTGAATAGAAGCTCAAGCTGTAGCAAAAATAGGTTAAAGGAAAAAAAAAAAAAAAACCTTCATATATTTTTCCAAGTTGCTGAAAACAGTTTATACAACATTCAGGGCACCTGGAACATTGTGGCCTAAGATGCTGTAGCACAGGCTTTTAAGAATTTATCAGACCTGTTGTGGGTTGGGTAGTTAGCTGTGATCAGTTGTGTTTTGGCCACAGCTTCCATCAGAATGAGTTGTCTTTTTACTAGTAAGGGGTTGAGTGGGTTGGAGAGCCTACATGTGATATTCCTCCTGGAATGAATGATATAGGTCCTTGCATCTGTCTTGTGACAGTGGGCTCTGCATGCTAAATTATGATAAATTGTCACAAATGTCCACAGACTATACTCACTACAAAGTTTGAGTGATAAGATGGATTGTCTGTGGCCTAATTTCTATCTATGCATCATGGTGAGGGCTTCATTTTTATTTTTTGTCTAGGAGTTGTAGAGGCTAGCCACCTTTGTAAATTACATTTGAGGAGAACACCTTTTGGTATTAAAAGCTATAGACTTGAACAAATTTTTTAGGCAAGAAAATGTATACATAAAGAAAAGTGAAAGAAAATGAAAATTGAATTAAAAGAAAATGAATTGAAGATAAATGAATTAAAGTATGTTTCACATGGACATCTTGGGTTCAGTGCTTGCTAACCTGGCAGCCACAGTTTTTCAAAGCTCTGAGGTCTCACTTTTTGTTAGCACTGTCTTTTTTTTTAGTGTTTTATGTTTGTTTTCTTTGCTGGTCACACTTCTGGTGATCTTTCTCCAATCTCTTTGTCTCTGCTTATCTACTTATTTTTTCACCACTTTTCAGTAACACCAGGGTACAAACACTGAAATCTTTTAACCTGTCCCTGTCTTTCAGTGTAATGATAGCTTTAACCTGACTGCTGTATTTTATGAACCTCAACTTTCCCTGACTGTTTGCTTCCCCTGTCATGCTTCTTTGCATATACTTAGTGCACAACATTTTCAGGGAAGCAGCAGATTCCCAAGACTCCAGCACCTACAGTACCAGGTTCTTCACCTCTGGCATATTCAGAGTAATGTTAAATAGTGCTTTTGACAATGTAAGATACCTATGCAAGAAAAAGATGGAGCAAGAGTCTTAAAATAGTTAGCTTCATTCAGAAAGAGAGTAATCAGTTGTTAACATGTCTAGTTGGACTTCTACCTTACTACAACTCCAATCTTGACTAAACATTTTATACTGTTTGATGTTGGTAGTGAGGAGAATAAATTCTCTCGTGTATTTTTCAATGTGATGTTTGTGATGTAATTACTTTTGCTCCGATGTAATAGTATTGCCAACAGGCAAACAAACTGAGGAGGACCAGCCTTAACTTGATTTTATTCTTCTTAGCCTATTACTCTTCTGATGGAGTCATCAGATGCAATGAATCTTGCTTGCCTAACAGCTGGATACTACAGACTGCTGGTTGACTCAAGGCGTTCAATATTTAACATGGCCAACAAGAAAAACGCAGGGGGCCGAGAAACAGGTATTTATCTCACAGTATGTTACCCATGGTCCAGTGTATAAAGCAGAAGTCAACTTAAGCCAGAGCACTTCCAGATAAATAGAAGGCTGTGTCAAATGACATCTGATTGCTGGCTCAGACCTAGCACCACAGTATTCAATTCAGCTACGTAGTGTTCCAATACCCAGCTTATGATAGCATCTCCATGGTAAAATAAACCATGTGTCGAATTTCCTTCATACTCTAGTAGACAGATGCACTCTTCCTGTGAGTGTTATTATTTTATATGCATATATCTTTTGTCAGAATACATATGGTTTTGTAGAAACCAGCTGCTTTTGTGTTACTATGCCTGGAACAGCATTTGTACCTAGCTGAGGTTTAGATTTGTTTTAGAGTACAGAAGGATCAGTTAAACTCTAGGTCATTAAGTCAACAGGTATTAAACTTAGAACAGAGGTGAATTTGAAAACACTTTTCTGAAGTATTTGATGGCTCAGCTATCCTATTCAGAGTGTTTAATACTTAGCATCAACAAATTATTGTTTACAAATTACTTGACTTTGTTCTTTGATTTCACAATGTTGATTTTATTTCACCATGCTATAGGACCTGAAAATAGAGGGAAGCATAATATCCTTGCTTCTGAGTGGAATTGTATACCAAAAACTACCACTTTCCTGGCCGAAGGAGATCAGGAGGCTCAAATGTCCTTTGCTGATCCAAAGCAGAAGACTATAGATGTTTCTGAAAGTCTGTTATGTCCAAAAGAACACAGACATCTGTACATAGAAAATACTTATAATTCAGGTGGATTTGATCAGCATCTGGCCAAGCAAAGTGACCCTGCTGAAACAGAAGAAACCAGAAATTTTAGCCAGCCTTCACTGCTGTCACTCTCAGGTTTGGAACCTAGCAAGAAAGCACAGGATTCTCCCAGGGGAGCAAAAGTTTCCTTTATATTTGGAGATCCCAACTTGGATGGTATCAGTCCTCAGACTCTTGGCTATGAAAGGCTTTTGGATGAAAGTCCAGAAGTATTAGAAAAACAAAGAGCCATTTATCTTAGTAATGCCAATGATATTAAAGGCCTGGAGTTGTCACCAGATGCTGAAAGCATTCAGTTCGCTACAAACTCTGTTTACGCAACTATAAGCGATGGTAAAATATTTGGAGCTGCAGAAGGGATAGAAGAGCCTTTGCTGCATGATATCTGTTATGCAGAAAACACAGATGATGCCGAAGATGAAGATGAAGTAAGCTGTGAAGAAGATATTATGGTAGGAGAAATCAATAGGCCTGCTCTTCTCAGCCTTTCTGGTTCTAGTGATGACATTATTGATTTGACTTCACTTCCACCTCCGGAAGGTGATGACAATGAAGATGATTTCCTTTTGCATACCTTAAACATGGCCATTGCTGCTCCTCCACCTGGTTTCAGGGACAGTTCTGATGAGGAAGACTCTCAGAATCAAGCGACACAGCCTAGAGACAACAAGGAGCAAGACAGTAATCTAGGCAATGATGACATTCCAGTGTCGCTTATCGATGCTGTCCCTACTAATACAGAGGGGAAGTGTGAGAAGGGGCTAGATGATGCTGTAGTCTCTACTCTTCAAGCACTAGAAGCTTTGGCTGCTTCAGAGGAACAGCAGACGAATGACAATTCAGGTTCTTTCACCATAGTTACATTTATTCATTGAGAATCATTCCATCTCATCCATTTAGCTTTGGAAGTACTCCATTTCATGAGGGTTGGTTTGGTTTTTTTTTTAGTTTTCCTTTTATTTTTTGCCATCATTTTTCATACATCGTATTTCATATTTAATGGAGCCACCACTGTTATTAAACTACCTGTCTCGGGAACTGTGCAATAAAGTCAGAGTATTCTTACAAAGAATATTTTTGTCTCTAATACACCCCCTTTTGCTTGTCACTTATCCAGGTGCCTCAGCTGCTGTCATTTAATTGACTCTTATTTTTTGTGGCTTGCAGGTGTAGCTATCCTGCGAGCATATAGCCCTGAGTCATCTTCAGATTCTGGCAATGAAACAAATTCCTCTGAAATGACTGAAAGCTCTGAACTAGCCACAGCACAGAAACAGTCGGAAAACACTGCACGTATGTTTCTGACCACAAGTGAAGGCTACCAACCGCTTGTGGAAGAGCAGACTGAATTTCCCATTGCTAAGAATCAGGCTGGAGGGCCAGGTATGAAGCCCTCACAGCCTTTGGCTGGTGGTCAGGCTGCAGAGCTACAGTCAAAAGTTGTGCCTTCAAAGCAGATTCTTCATTCCGATAACATGGAAATGGAGCCAGAGACCATGGAAACAAAATCTGTCACTGATTATTTTAGCAAATTGCACATGGGATCCTTGGTATATTCTTGCACTAGTAAAAGGAAAAATAAGATGACAGATAGCGAAGTAAAAGCATCCTCTGATGGCAATGCTACTGTGAAAAAGCAACAGGGAAATAAAAAAGCAGAGTCTGATGAAGATCTAAAAGCTAAATTTGGAACTCTTTCAGCAAGAGACAGCCAGCGCTTAAGCACTTTCAATGTGGAGAGAACTGCCTTTCGCCAAAGATGGTACGCTGCCGATGATGGGGCAGCAGATAAGCCAAGCCCAGAAACAGTTAATGGGAAGACTTTTCCAAGAGTTCCTGTCCTTGGTAAAACAGAAACTGACTGTAAGGATGAAGTGGATCCTGAGGTGGATCAGGATGACACCTCAGGGCTTAGCCAAGGTGAAAACTTCCTGTCAGATATGACTCCCGTGTCTTCAGCCAAAGACCTAAATGATGCAGAAGATACTGATTTATCTGCAGATGACCATCCTTCAAAGCTTCCAGAAGCTGAGCAGAGTGTGGCTAGACTTTGTGAGTATCACTTGGCTAAGCGCATGTCATCTCTGCAAAGTGAAGGCCATTTCTCGCTGCAGAGCTCTCAGTGCTCTTCAGTGGATGCAGGATGCAGCACAGGCAGTAGCACGTGTGCTACCCCCGTTGAATCCCCTCTTTGTACCTCTGATGGTAAACACATCATCTCTGATCCATCAATGAAGGGCATTGCCTATGTTCCAGCAGATGAAAGAGCCGCCATTCTTCCAAACCATGGAACGACATACAAGGACCTGCACCAGCAGCCTGAAGCCGTGTGTCACAGAATGACGGTGCCTGTTGTGCATTCAGCAATCAATGCTGAACCGCTTTTCGGCACTTTGAGGGAAGGATGTCATCGGATCCCCAAGATAAAAGAAACTACAGGTACAGCAGTAATAGCGTGTTTCTTCTGTTTATTCTTAAAGCTACAAGTTCATGTTGAGGTCTAGGTAAGACATTTCTATTATCTTTATCTGGAGCTACATCATCAAGCTGTAACAGACAGTGAGATTAAACCTTCAGTTTACCTGTTCATTTTATTTGTTGAGATATTCTGATGATCTGCATACAAAGATCAACTTTTTAAAGAACCTCTCATTGCAGTTATAATATTTGGAGGGACACTAATGGAGAGGCCTCTCTTCCACTCTTTGGAAGCCTCTCCAAAATCCATAGTCAATTGAGTCCCAGATGCTTGTTAGATTGTAAAATTACGTCAGAAGTTATATTAATATAGGGGAGCAAAATCTTTGATTCATTTCTTAGGTATCTTATATGCTATTTTAGCAGGTTGTCAAAAACATGCCAATATGAATAAAAAGCTCTAGATGTTAAGAATAAGAAAATGTCACTACCTTATTAAGCATGAATTTACTTCACAATCTGACAGTAGGTGTTTCTTTAAAGTTATAAAAAAATGCAGTTTTTAGAGACAGCATTGAAATTCTTTCAGTTGAATTTTAAATGTTTCCCTCTTCTTGGATTGCAACCCACATGTAGCACTAGTGTGTGAATGCATGAAAATCCAAAAGTGGAACAGACTAAGATTTAAAATGAGAAATAATCTTTCTCTGCCAAAAACTGCCACAAAACCAAACCAAAATTACCATGAGCACATCTTTCCATGCTCTTTCAGGTGTAGTTAAAGAAGGTATTTTAATCTGAAATTATTCATCTGATTAGTAAATAGAAAATATGCAATCCATATATTAGAGGAGATTTAGGATGTTTTGTACATAATTTTCTATTCCTTTTCTTGAGTAAGCCTGCTGTAGTGAAATGAATAATTACTTATTCATAAATTACAATTTGTTGACCGGTTGTAAAAGGCATTTTAGTGAAATGTGAAAGACTTGTAATGAATCTTTGATGGAATATTTTGAGGAATGGGAACTCTTGGGAAGTACCAGGAAACCATTTGTACTGACTGTTAAAAGATATTTAAAAGTTCAGCCTATGAATATTATCAGGGTGATGCTTAATTATTCTGTCTGCTCTTCTACTACCCCTAGTGTAGCTTTCACAGAGCCTGAAAAGGGAAGACAAGGAGGCATGCCTACAGCTTTTCCTAGACAGCCTCTAGCTGACTCCATCATGCTATCATCCATGCTATCAGAATCAAAGGTGCCAAGTCAAAATGAAGACTATTGTGACATTCCCAAAGTAAATCAGGCTTGTGGGGCAACAGTTAGTTTATGGCCATATGACATGATAGGAGGAAGCCTCAGGATGCCGCAGAACAAGAAAATGCTGAGACGCAGCAGCAGCAGCAGCAGCATTGGAAGATCTGCAGGCACTGAGATGCTGTTTGAGAAGAAGGCAGCCACGGCCAGCTTGAAATGCCTGGACACCACCCAAAAGGATGAATCCAAATCAGAAAGAAGGGTGGAATTTTCCCTGGGCAAAAAGCTGTCCAAAAGTTACTCTCAGAGTTGTGTGTATGTCAGCACTGATAAGAAGGACAGTAAGAGGTGTTCAGGCACAGGCACCAGTCAGAAGGACTCCAAGCAGTGTCGAACACTGCCCTTGCGAAAGCTGACCAGCAGCGCCTGGAGGTGTCGGGGCCCCTTTAGCTATTGCTTCCTCAGCAGAGGAAATGATGACAATGAGGAGGAAGATGACCAAGACAGCCATCAGCTCTCACACCTCTTCGAACCACAGACCCCGTGTGAGCTCACAGAACCAGTTGCTCAGTCGTCCGGTGACAATGAGCAGAAAGTCTTGGAGTCCCTGAAAGCTGCTGAGCCCTCACGTGATGCAGTCAATGAGCATGAGAAGAGCAGTGCTGACACCCAAGGGGGCCAAATTGACGTGAATCTCAACGATGTAGCCTTCGATGCACGAATCACACGAATAAACGTGATGAAAGAGAAGACATATGCAATGCCTGATGGATTTATTGCAGCACAAAAGGATGCCAATGAGCTACTCTCACTGGTCCGAGCAAGTATGGGCAAGAGAGAAGATTTACATCCAGAAACATATGACCTTAAACTTTCTAAGTACAAACAACTGTTATCTTTGGAATCGAGACAGTTGGGAAGTGCCTGCAGGAAAATGGCCATGGCTGATAAAAGCCCTGAGGAAATGCTTTTAGCTATGACTTCCAGCTTTCAAGTACTCTGTTGCTTAACAGAAGCCTGCATGCGTTTAGTTAAAGTCATGAACTCTGAAACACAGCAGCAGGAAATTATAGCTAAGATAGATGAGGTTGTAATAAACTACATTTGTCTTCTGAGGGCTGCAGAAGCAGTGTCAGGCAAGACCTCTGGTGATCCTAGCATTAAACTCTTGGCTCGACATCCGAATACCATGGCCGCTATTGTAAGCACACTAACACGTTCTCTTAAAATGCTTTTAAACAAATAAAATACAAAAGTCACTTCATAATCTACCTTTGCAAAGCCATACATTAAAAAATTTTATTTACTGTATGTGTATGAACTAATGTAACAAACTCAGCTTTCTCTGTATATTTTGTTATTTTATATAAAATAGGTAGGAGATTAAAAAAAGTTAAAATACTGAACATTGACAAAAGTAATGACTAGGTCTGTCCTTCAGTTTATACAAAAACAACAGCCAAAAACCCCTTTCCCCAAGATCAGAAAAACAAACAGAAAAAAGTCCCATATAGGAGCAAATTGATGTTTGGCTATTTTTCATATAGTCAAATTTATGGTTGTATGAAGTGAACTTCTAAAGCCTGTTATGTAATGAAATTGTTTTCTGTTTCATCCAAGTTTTCACTTGGAGAAGGCTCCATGTTTAGAATGATTAATTAAATCATAATGTATATAACACAATATTTAATGTTTTAAAATTATAATTTTTAAGCATTGAAAATAGCAAAAAGACATTTAAAATCCAAGAGATTATTATAACTTACTAGAGAATATATATATAATAAATGACTCTTTTGTTCATATGGACTGAATTACCTGATTCTTCTTTTCTAGGAAATTCTGTATTTAAAAAAAATGTATTGAATATATGACTATACCAACTTCAGAGGGGATCTGATGTATTGAACTTATAGTGTTGGCCTTTTAGACAGTGAAGGCAACTGTGGAGGACTGAGGACACAGAAACCACAGTGGTGGTGGTGTTCTCTCTGAAATGAAAGATTGATGCCATAATGGTCAGACCAGAATGTATGAGGCAGGTCTACATACCCTTTTTCCTGGTAAATGACAGAGAGGACCATCAGAAAATTCCTATGCTGTTTACTGTTTCATCATATATTTATGGTGCACCTGAACAACATGGACTGCATCTATTTTGTTAAATATTTTATACTTCATATTTTATGATTCTGAATGTTTAACTGTAAATAAGTTAGAAATAAAATGAAATTTTCAGAATACAATAAATATCTCTGAAATATTTCCAGCTAGAGACAGTTCTTCTCTTGAGTGATGACAAAGGCAATTTGTGAGTAATCTCTTCCATCTGAACTTTTCTGGAAAGCATTTTGTTGCCTTGTGTTTGAGAGGCAGCCAAAGCAACAGCTCTCAGTTCTGGCTGGCAAATAGGCTTTCACAAGAGCATCTGGTGACCTTCTCAGTGACCAAGGAGCAGCAGCCTCCATTCTCCAAACTGCTGTAGGTAATTTTCAGCTGTTTCTCATAACACCATGTGCAAAGGGTATTACTGCTCTTGTTTTGGAAACTTAGCCTTTCAGTTGAAGCACATGTGAAGCTTTCTGTGCTGAACTAGAATGAGTAAACCAACAAAAACTTTCTTGCACTTCATAAAACAAAGATATGCCTTTCCCTCTGGCTGCAAAGAAACATCTTCAGAAACACAGTAGCAGAAGCTTAATCTGTTGTCTGTAGTAGAAAAATCCGATTTCTGAGACCAATTCACTTAGTGCAAGGACCCCCTTTGGAGGGCAGCTCAGAGGGAGGCTGCAGGCTGACTTACAGTGCTGGTGGGTGACAACAGCTTGTCCTGTGTGGTGCTCACACTCAGTGCTCTTGTTCTGGCAGCCCAGAGAGTGGGGCTGTGGGTGCTGCTCTTGTGCTGCAAATACTATGGGATTCAAACATTTCATACTGAGGGAAAAAACCAAGCTGAACTGTTGCGTTGGTATCTATTCCTTAATGGTTTTCTGAGTTTATAAAAATGTCAACAGTGATTTAGAAATACTAAGTTTCAAAAATAAATGTAGATTGTCGCAACTAAGCATTGACATAGATAGGAATGTGTCACTTTAAGCATTTTTTAGTCCAGTTCTTTTCATTCCACTGCTTTTCAATTGACCTAATTTTATTTCAAAGGTAAGTAGATTTTTGTTCTTACTGTTCAAGACATTTTCTGATTGTAAACATGTTCATTTGGCTCCTTAAAGTTAACTGTGGTCTCTGGTCTCTGTCTCTCTCTTTTTCTTTTTTTTTCTTTTTTTTAATTTTTTGTTTGTTTGTTTGTTTATTTGTTTTTCCTGTTTGATAGGTTTTGGTTTTGGTTTTGGAGTTTTTTTGTGTTTAACAAGTGGTGGGGTGGGTGAGGGGAGGGGTGTATCTTCTGCTTTTTAATGCATTTTCATAGAATCATAGAATAATTTGGATTGTAAATCTAAATGGCTTTCTGTAGTTCACCTAGTTCAACCCCTGCTCAGGTCTAATTTGATCAGGTTGCTCAGGGCTGTTTAAAGGGTTTATTATATCCTCCAATGATAGATGTACCACAATTTCTCTGGGCACCAGTTCCAATATTTTACAGTATTTATGGCTAAAAAATGCAAAAAATTCTTTAAGTCTAATCAGAATTTTCCATGTTCCAACAATATCTTTTGCCTTTGATCATATTGCTGTGCATCCTTTCGAACAGTCAGGCTCTGTCCTCTCTCTATCCTTTACAGGCAGCTGTAGGCTGTAATAAAGTCTCCCCTAAGTCTTCTCTCCTCCAGACTGAGTTAAACCAGTTTCTTCAGTCTTTCCTCATATATCATGTGCTGCAGCCCCTGACTAGTGTGGTCACCCCTGACTGGGCTCCATGGTGTGATTTCATAAACCACCACCATACTCTTGTGTCAGTTTTGATAAATAGGATCATCTAGCCAAGCTCTCTGAGGCATCCCGTAGAAGGCAGTTTCTTCTTCCCCCAATACCCCCATGTGGTACCATATGAATGTCCTTTTCACAATGTTTCCATACAGATTTATATGCAGGCTTTTGAATGCTGCCTTGTGAGAGCTTTGTACAATTGCACAGCTGCTGGAAATGATTTGTCTGCAGTCTCCTAGAATCACATGTATTCACAGGCATATTAGGTTAGTGTCTCACAATCATCCTTTGTCAGAAAGCATTCTCGTATTTCTACGGGGCTTTTGGGAGACCCTTATTGCAACCTTTCAATACATAAAGAAAGCCTTAGAGAAGGATGAGGACAAGCCTTTTAGTAGGGTCTGCTGCAGTACAAAAAGAGATAATGGGTTGGAACTACAGATACAAGAAATAAAAATTTTTATTATGAGCATGGTAAGGCATGGAACAGATTGCCCGGAGTGGTGGTAGGTGTCCCATTCCTGGAAACATTCAAGGTCAGGCTGGATGGGGCTCTGAGCAACCTCATCTAGTTGAAGATGTCCCTGCCATTGCAGGGGGTTGGACAGGATGACCTTGAAAGGTCCTGTCCAACCCAAACTCTTCTGTAATTCTAAGATTGTGTGATTCAGCTTGTCCTGTCCAGCTGAGAATGATTGAATGATAATAGACCTAACTTTTATTAATTCTGGGCATAACAATTGCACATCAATTGCTGCTGAATTATAGCCCATTTCTATTAATCTCGAGCTTTAAGGTAACCTTGTCTTCCTGTATGGCATCCTAATTGATTCCTGCATTAATTGCACATTTTAACTTCATGATATGAGGGAATGCCATCATTATGTACCTACTGCACTAAGGCAGTAAAGAAATGCTAAATTATATCATGTCATCTGCATACAATATAATGCAAGACTTTTATAAACTTTTATATATACACTATATGTTTAGTGATTTTTAACTTGGCAAAATGACAGGCATCTTCATGTTTGAGTCCTTGAGTTCAGGCTGTTTTAAAAAATAATTGGGCAAAGTTTCCATTTTGCCATTAAGAAACAAAGCTGCATACCTACA